TCTATTTTTTCGTTGTATAAGGAGTGTGGAAACAACACAAGTGATGAAGCAGTTTTTCAAAGAGATGAGCTTTGCATAGCGTAACAATAGCTAGTGAGGCAAAATAATTTTTATCAATGTCCATGAAGAGTGCAAATCAACTCGCACTTATCTCCAAAAGCTGCCGGCGTTGTGCAGTGTTATAAAATGTGTTCTAAACTAACCGGGAGGAGAAAAAATAGAAAAGGATAAAACAGAAGCACTAAGTTTGCTCCTGTCTACTCAGAAACTCAATATGGCACACTACAAGCGAGTGTCTTCCTTCATTGCCAATTTCCCTATGACATCCAATACGATAACGATGACTGAAGTTCTGAAATATGAATCATTTGCGCTTTAAATATTCTTTCATAGTTTGATAAGTGTTGAAACTTAGAGCAAGTTTAAACTAACAGTAAAAGATTTTGGGAGTTATGAAGAAGTTTGCACATCCAAAGTCTCATCCAGGGACTAATCTCTCCGAGTTTTTCAAAGTTCACCCACAGTCGCCAGTATTAGCGTAGGCTAAATGCTCGTAAGCGTTTGTGGGGCGCGGCCAAGCACTTGCGCTGTACATTCCTTATAAGTTTGAGACATTCAAAAACATTGTGGCCTAAGCTCTTTTGACCAAAACAAGGACAAATTGACCACCAGTAAAACACTGGTCATCTGATTACGAATTGAGCAATAGTAGTTCTGATTTACTGCGTGACCGTAACCAAACTCGCTTGATTTGAATAATACGATATAGCTTCACAAACTTTTTCAAGCACTAGGACTCATAAGTAGCTAGAGGAAGCGTATATTTTTATTTGAAAACATAAGCAAAACATAACTCGAAATGTTGATAATTCAGCTGTAGACATTCACTAATTCTAAGCCTAAAAAAAAGCATAGAAAATTTTTTAATCTTTCTCATTCAAATCTAATACAACATTATATACAATTGATTCAACTGGCTGAGCTTCGGCAAAGGCGGGCTTCGTGACCTAATTAAGGCTAAATAATGATCAAAGAGCACTCGCGCGCGAGAGACGCAGGTGGTCGCGGGCGCGAGCGGCCTGCCCTGACGGAGCTAAACCAGTTGAATCAAAGATAATCACAATTAGACACCTCGTAGTGTGCGTGGTGCGTGTACAGTTTAGAAGGAGCGCTCAGAGGAGAAGTAATGGGTGGAGCCGCCCTCTAGTCCCAAGGAAGTGTGATGTTTCTTTGGGGGATTTATGGAGGTGCTGAGTAAGTACATTAGCAAGGAAAGGCGGCTGGATCTGGGAATCCCTGCTACGCCGCCATATTATTTGGCAAAACCTTGCCAAAGTGGTATCTAAGTTATATCTGCAGAAAGACCGATGCAGTGTTAGTTAAGTGCCCTAATTATGATGACGAGCACTAGGTGTCATTAATGGAGATAGGAATCTAACTACCCAGGCTACAAAACACGGTTAAGTAGGCTGATAGCTAAGGGTCTCTAGAGTCTGGTGCCCTGCAACGTGACAGGTGCAGTCAGCATTTCGTGTAAGCACAAGTACCAGCCCACGTGAAGGGCCTTTAGGTGGGGGGGGGGGGTGGGGAAGGCAAGGCAAATTTGGGTATTGATGGCATAAAAGCATAATACCATACCATAATACCATGTATAAAATACCATTGTTGTTTATGCCATCATATGGCATAAACAATGATGGTATTTTTAGCACACTGATCTTGCTCACGAGAGTTCCTTCTCTCAAACAAAATTCTGGTAGTCCTGCAAAAACGATATTTCTTTGCTTTTTACCTCCAAGCTGAAGGCCTGATCGTATGCCACTTATGCCGAGCGTATATGCAGATAAAGCTGACAAACCAGGTAAAGGATATGAAGTGGAGCATAAAGCGCTTTCATATAAAGCCACTATGAGGCCTGCTGATTTCACCACATAACGTTTTACCAGGTTTTCGAGCTTTTTAGATGGTGTAATCACACTTCCGACAAACATTGAAAAACTGTGACCCTAAACCTGAAATAATGAAAGAAGCATTACGGTGAAGTGCAAATTTCATATATAAAATCAGCGACTTAAATGTCCTGTACAAGAGTTTCTGGCTTGTTTGGTTTTCCTTCTAAAGCAAAAATCAATTTCAATTTACTAAAACCTTCTCGAAATTTTTCCGTTATCCTACAGTAACCAAGGATCGGAGATCCCTCCATACCGTACATTTAAATTGAACCTCGCTCTACAGAATGTCATCTCAAGCTCAGCGAAAGACATGAGTGCAAGAGAGTTATTAGCGATCAAGCAGTGTTGACACTTTTTTGCGATACCCTGCATGTATGTATGTATGTATGATAGCGTATGTGCATATATATCAGTGGCGGATCGAGGGAGGAGGGCTCCCACGAGAATGGGTCGTGAAATTTTTGACTTGCCTATATGGGTTATAAAAATGTGCAAATGACTTGTTTGTTTTTGTAAATAATTAAAATATTAGGTTGTCCCGAAAGTTTTGTCGGCTTTTTCAAACCACTATAAAACCACGCACAGTGAAGATATGAATGAGTTTTAAAGTGCATTCGATGTAACTTTTTCTTCTCTTTCTTATGGCTACATTCTCAAACCGCAATCATGTATGCTTTTTTTGATAATTGCCAAAATTCTTCACCTGCCATTTTTATCTGCTTAAAGTTAGGCTATTTTTCAAAAATTTCATTTCAAACTTTCGGAGAGGGTTGAGTATGGATCAAATAGAGCGATTCCAGAACTTTACGGAAATATTTTTTGATTCTTCTAGTCTGCTGTGTTTGGCTCAAAAAAATTATTTCTTCGGAGGTCTTGGTTTTAGCAAAGTCGTGAAAAACGCAAGTGCAGCAAAAGCGAGAAAACTTATAAAGTTTCTGCGAATTCAAACTTGATTGTTATTAAACATTATTTATGCAACATAACCAAGTTTGATTTGCTTCAAAAATCAGCTTTTTCGAATTTTCGGTACTTTTACGTGGTAAACTTATTCAAAAAGCCGCGGTTTTTACTGAATAAATAATCATAACGGACTTAATAAACGAGGCCCACGTAATCTAAAATGAGTACGATGTAGCCAAAGGTTTGCTCCACATAACAGTCATTAGCGCTCCTTGATAATATCAGTATAAAAATTTTGGAAATTCAGGAAAGATTTGGCGTTACTGCTGAGGTGCTCAAAAATCCATGGCGATAACATCACAAAGACGGGGTAGACCAGAAAACAAATATAGCTTTTAGAAAGAGGATTTAAATCCGAATAGAATGGTACCCAGGTCGTCTATGGAATGGGTTTCTATGAGTTTGGGTGAGCGATGAAAAAAACCGACAAAACTTTCGGGACAACCTAATAATTTTTAAAATTTTTCGAAAATTCAAATTAGCCTTATAAAAATTTTTTTTCGGGGGCGTGGCTAACGGCATGCACCTTCATTTGAAAAATTTTTTTGTCCCTCCCCCGGTCCGAGATCCTGGGACCGCCTCTGATATATATATATTTACCAGCTCGTCATTAAGTAATGATATGTATATGTCAAAATCGCTTTGATAGGAGAAGGTTCTCTTGGAATCATAGGTGCAAGCCTGCATAGAATTCCGAACAATCTAGTACGAGAACATTGCAGGGAGAGATCGACAGTGCTGTACAGTAAAGTGCACAGCGTTCTCATTTAGTAGTACTCTTTCAATAGCATTATCTTTGAATGCAGTAAAGTAAATCCCCGCCCGGAATGTCTTGTAAAGCAAGTTATGAAGAGTTGCTTTATGGATCTTGCCATGGTCACAACCCTGATTCACGTGAAATCCAAAAGTGAATGTCGTTGAGATTTGCAAGGTAGATGGGTGCAATTAACGCAAAAAGTGTAATTTCAAGATTCAAAGTTTGTTTAGTTTACTTATGCAAAACAGTCAAGATCGATTCCGAAATAAAATTTCTCGAAATTTCTCCTAGAAGCTGCATGCATTTAAAGGTGAAGATTAGTGTCAGAAGGTTAGAGCACATTACTGCTTCACAAACAAAGAATTCAAAATCGGTGACAAGAAGTCTGTTATATGTTTTCTTTTAAGCAGTTTATGCAAAAAACCTAGATCAAAATGAGTGATCTGGTGCCTTTGTACGATTTCCTGGGGGGGGGGAGCTACGACAGTATTAGTAACTGCATAGATTCAAGGCCGGAGTAGTTCTACTTGTCAGGAAGAAAGGAACTAATAAGATACTAGCTGAGACGCTAGTCGGTAGCTGCTCTTTGAGAAATGTGGTTAAGAAGCAAAAGAAATTCACTGAGAAAGCTACCAATAAATGCTTACAGTCAATTTCTTATCAGTAATTGATGTTGATTGTTACTGAAAGATGGTCAAAAATCAATCAAATATGAGGTGATAATTAGGGTTTGAAATTCTGGAAGAACTAATACCTTTAAGTAAGTGCTAGTTTAGTGATTTTTTCGTACAAAAATACAATGCGTAACCAGATACTTTGTCATACAGCGAGGATTAAGATACTTGTCGCAGTAGAAATAACATCTTAAGCCGCAAAATAATCCCCCATGATTGATGGTTGAACTACGACTTAGATCTGGGGGTAATAATTGAGAGATACTGTGAGTGAAATATTAAGTCGAAAAATATGCAAGTTTGCTTTTTTGAGTTTTACGGAAAACGTGTTTTTCCAAAAATCGAAAATTGTACAAAGTTGATTTAAAGCTCAATGAATTGGAGGTTTGCAGCATACAACTGCATGTATGCGAGGAACTCAGTTGCCAGAGAGGATTAGTCCACTTTTTGTTTCCATTTTTCTCTTGACATATGACCACAAAAAATATAGCAACTGTGAACACAAATGATTTCTTTGAGGCGAAAGGTTAGCATGGTTTTTTGAGGCTATCGGATTTTTTGATAGCATGTACTCCTTGTTTTCAGCTTCAATCTACTTGAGTTACTTCTTAGGCCAACATTCGTTGTGGTTTTCTTGTACATCTTACTTCGCTGTTATCAAGTACTGACCCACAAGGCCATTTTCAGTGTTGAAACTGTCAATGTAGCCTAAGGAATAACATTATTTTTTCCAAATTAATATTTGATTGCAGTGAACAAATTTCAAACCTCAACATCCTTCGCAAGCTTTTTGCCTGCAGCTTTAGCTGCGTTAGCGATCGGCTGCGCCCTAAAAGTGCATTAATTCACGGGAGATAAAATTTGGCAAGTTAAAATGATCGATACTCACTGCACAACGTAAACATATCTTTTGCTGTATTTCCCGTCTGGCAACAAATTTTTAGCAAATTCGTTGTTTTCCCAAACCCCTTGATCTTTCGGCATTTTCTTCGACAAGTGAGCCGCATCCTTCAAGGCCTGCCTATGCAGCTCGCAGTCGTACTAAAAACAAAGTATGATAATTACTAAACTTTGCGATCTATTCTGCCTGCCGTGTACATGCAAAAGAGGTCTAAATCTACACTAGCCTCATATTTGTCATTTGGAATCTCGGACATCATAAGGACGGAAAATGATGATAGCGATAGACAATCAGTGATATTCCAACTTTCGGGCACCGCTGCCAACTGAAGATAGATCTTCAAAATTTTATCATCATCATGTATAGTTGTATAGTTTATAGTTTGCGTTGCGCACTGCATTATCTTCTTTAGGGTTAGGCCAGACTGGGGCGTACGAGGCATACGCGACGTACGCAGCGTACGCACACTGCATAAAGATATGGCCGCCGCATGCTGTGTACGTCATACGCCGCGTACGGCTCTGACCTTATCCCAATGAGATGCAGATGACCTAGGTTTGGAGCAAAGAAGATCAGTTCTGTAAACCATCATAGGTTTGAAGAAGAGGACGCAGTCATCAGAATAATGTGTTTGAACAATATTTCAAGTAACTAAACAAGTACTTTGACTCTGAGAGCGAAATCGCACTTATCTTGCAGCACCCCATTTCAGAGCTATTTTGGGAGGGCAGTAGCTTGCTGAACCATGCACCTTATCCAGCACATCTCTCACATCGAACCGTTGTTGTAAAAATGCAGTGCCGTTTAAAATTTTTTTCCTCAATCTGTGAAGTATAAAAGTAGTATCCCCCTCACAACATGCAAAGAGAGAACTCATGGAAACTCGTGCTCAATGCTGAGCATCGGTACGAATAAATTAGAAAAGGCTAGAAAAACTGCTCACATAGACAATGAAAATAGCAGATTGCAAGATTTACACCGTACGACATTGCGAGAGCTTTGAAGGTAAGACATTTGAAATTTTATCTAAGAAAATGCACTCTTATGTGCAAATATGTTCCTCGTTCAAAGCTTTATTTCTTACCAGTGCGTCACCTCTGCTTCGTAGAGGCTCGCACTAGTTCTTCTATCTACATGCCACACTCATTCTCGCATGACATGGCATTAAACCTTACCGCGCAATGACCGCCTTCATAAATGAATTGTAAACAACTACTCATCCCGAAAGCTTTTTTTCAAGAGAAATTGGTATTTTGCGTAGATGAAACCTTAGAAGTTGAAGAACAAAGGCAGATTTAAAACATTTTTGAATTTTTCATGGCTTGGTAGTCACCATATATAATTTCTCTCTACCGTGAGCTACATTTTTTGGGCTAAAGGTTTTCGGCTTGCATATTGACTTGCTAAGCGAACAGGAACTTTGCAGAAAGTGTAATACGGACTCAATTTTGCAGGCCAGAAGTTAAGTGGATCCGTTTGATGTGCGGTTTCTGCGTGATCCATTCAACGAATCTGCTCGTGCTTTTGCCTGGTGAATCTAGATGTTGGTGTGTGTTGTGCAAAAAATTGCGGCTTGAAATTTGTCTGCGACTCGTTCTATGAATTTTGTTACAGACGGACAGACACACACAAAAACACGTAAACACTCTTAGCCCGTTATTATAAGCCATGATGATATCGTCAATACTTTTTATATAGAGCAAAAAGAATTTCGTAATCTTTTCTCTGCGCTGTTTCATAGCTCTTAGAAGATATTCGCTGCCGCTTTGCTCCAATCGCAAAAGCGCGTCCCTAGGTGAACCGACTCGTCAATTCGGCGCTCGGTTCCTTCACTTATCTTTGTTTTTCTCTATTTGTTGTCTGCCAATCAATCTTTTGTTTCATTCGCAGTGGGTATTGGGGAGGGCGAGGGGAGGAGAAGCAAGGGTAATGGAAGTGGAGGTTAAGGGATGGGAGCTGTACGTATTTTCGTTTCTTTTATGTTTTCGCTTTTTGCCGTTTATTCTGGGTTGGGATGCAGTCCCACCCAAAATGAAGTGAGAAAGGCTAAGTTAGGAATAGAGGAGGGGAGGCGGAAAGGGTCAGAGGAGACTTTGTGCAAATTTTTTCGACGGGGATTTCGTTTTCAAATCTCTTTGGTTCTAGATGGCGTGGAGTCCTCTACTGCGGTATTGTACTTGTAAACATTGAGTGAAAAAGTGAAAGAAATTTAAAACGAATCTATGTAAACTGCTCTACGTCATGCACTTACGGGATCTTGACAGGAAGCCCCCATCCATTTCAAAGTTATCGGCCATAAAATAAGCAAACTATAATGAATTTTGCAGATTTTCTGCAAAAAAAGTAATCAGCAGTTGCATGTGTGAGCTTGACTTACCATAACAAAGAGATGAAATTTTTTGTATTCACATTCACAAACTTGTGTTTGAATCACTACCGTAGATTTTTATACCAAATGAGTCCATTAATTTTGCAAAGCACTTATTGATGTAAAAGCTGCAAATCCTTCCCTTCATATAAAGCGACATGTTTGCTAGTGGTCGAGAGCTGACATACTTGGATTTGCGAATATCGATTCTTCAATAAAGTTCAGCTTTTGCGACTCGATCTTTACTGCGTGATCATAGATCTGAGCACTTTATTCAAATTTGTCAACGTGCGCTTTGCTAGTGCTTGAATCGTAATTCGCGATTTACTGACATTCATTGGGGGGGGGGGGGGGGGGAATGGGCACATAATAAAAGAGAATTTATTCATTGCTATGTGAGAAAATCTAAGCTTGAAGATGTTACTTTGCGCTTGTCCAATAACAAAATCTTCGTTTTTTTTATGAGTTTGGCAATTTCAAGCGGGTTTCTCACGTCTTTTGGATAAGCCTTCTACATTCTTCGTATGCTAGTCTTGAGCGTGTCTACACAAAACAGACGATGTGCGGACGGTCTACGGGATTACGCCAAGCCATTGGTCCATAACTCTGCCTAAGAAGCCATCGGTAGGCAACATTCGAGGTCGAGGCAGCAAGTAGTAAATTAGGTTGGTGCAAAAGTAATGCGCGTTTTGCGAGTTCTCGCTTTAATGTGCTATAACCTTCTTAAAAATCCATATTTTGAATGTGACAAAAACCATGAAAAGCAGCAAAGTTTTCTCAATACAGTGCACATTTCTCTATGATCATATCACAAACGGGCAGAAATTTATCGACTAATAAACAAAAAAGTTTTTTTCTGAAATTTCTTTTTTAACTCATCATAACTCCCTTCAAAATTAGTGAGTACTAGCTGGCTTGCCCGGCTCCGCCGGGCTGGGATTTGGCAGAGGGGGGGTAATCGAGCATGCTGATCACCCCCTTCGGGGTGATCAGCATGCTCGATTACCCCCCTCTGCCAAATCCCAGCCCTCTAGCTCGAATTTTGCAAAAAATCGATAAAATTGATATCGATCGATAACGAAAAGTAGCCTATGACACGCTCCCTGCCCCGAAGTATATGTGTGCCAAGTTTGGTCCCGATCGGTTCAGAAATAAAAATTTCTATTCCGCACATACGTACAGACATACATACAGACAGACATACATACATACAGACAGACATTCAGCTTTATATATAAGATACATGCTAAGCAGCTTGTCTTGTAGACGCAAGCCAGTAGTACAAACTTTATTGGAAAGGACTCAAGCAAAGAAGATTTTCGAAAAAAAATATTGAAATTCAAAATTGTCAGCTTTTTTCAACCTTTTTTCGTAGGCCTCAAAGTCCCGAAATGAAGTTTCTTGATTTTTTTGCGTACTAAATAGCTAAACGTTTTTGCAAAAAACGCTTACGGAAGTGAGCAAAGCTTTAACGATTGCGTTCTTTAAAAGAAATTTATAAGCACAAAATGACCCAAGACTCTTGTCGAGACGCTGATATCTCAGTCTAAGCAATTTCTGCAGATGAAAGATGAAGTTCTCCACCCGTTGTTCAATTGCTAAAAGTTTCCTGCTAATTCAAGGAAAAGACTACAAATTAGGTAAATAATGTCTTGTGCTATGCGCTACAGTTTTCAATCCACCTACCAAAATTTTTGGAGTCAAACACTTGACTGTTGCTGAGCAATATTTGCCCCCGTATTCGAACTGCAACTTGTTACAAGAAAATTGCAAGTAAAAAGTTTGGAAAATTCCTCCAAGCGTGATCCGATTACGGAGGTATTAGGTCGGTGCAAAAGTAATGCAAAAGTAAGTTTTTCTGGCCATTGTTTCAGGACAGCTTTTATCCGTCAAACTTCCTTTTTGGCGAAAACTCAAAACATTATAAGAGCTCTTTTCATGCCCTAACCAATGATTACTTAAACAAACTTCTATCCTCACTCGTTAAAAGTTCGCAAAGCTTCACGCAACCGCACTCGAATTCAGAATTTTATTGCATTCACTTTTCTGGTTAGTTTTCAAGCGCAAATGAAAGCATTTTTTCTAAAATGTTCGGCTGCTATATGTGACAAAAAATGTCTACAAAATGTACATTTTCCTATCCTCATAGAAAAACTCAATGGAAACGCCACAGAGTTTTGCTCTACATTTATTACGACAGACAGTGCTACGCATGTCTGTGAAAGAAATAAGTGAAAAATCAAGTTGACAAAATCTTCGCTGAACCTGTGCGCGCGAATTGGGCTCTATCGAAAAACTCAAAACTCGCCATTTCATTTGTGGTACTAAAAACATGCCTAGCATGTCGCAATAGGTCGACAGCAAAACTCAGTGACGTCTTCATTGAGTTCTTGCGGATATGAATAACTTTGAAAATGAGCGTGATCTGTGGGAAATCCGTTCGGCATCATACAAATAACGAATTATCTCAGCTTATACAGCAAAGTGCTGCTAGTCATTGTGCTACAATATCAGGTTAGTAGAGCCTCCAATAGATGAACAAACAAGGAAGAAACAGACTCCTAGAGCACCGAGCTATGAAGTGGAAATTACCTGTCCGGGTAACTTACCCGGACGGGCGATTGTTGCATACCGCCCCAGATGCTTGCCTAAGCAGCTAGAGTCGTCCGCAACCCACTAGTCGATTAGTGGACGAATTTGAATGCGTGTCAAAGCAGACGGTTGGCGCCGGAGCGGCAGGTCCCGCTTTAGTCGAGATTGGCGCAGAGTTCTTTCTTGTTTCTTCTTCGTGTCTTTCTCTTTCGTGCTGTAGCCATGTTTTTTGATAGATCTACGAGTTGGCGGTTGTTCCAAGCTGCTCTGCTCGTGTTCCTTGGCTTTCATACTAGGTAAGCATGGAACAGCGATGCAGTCGTGGATTTTTCAATGAAAGTAAACCTGTTGCGGTAGATATCATGTGCACATAAGTTGTTCAGTAAATTTACACGTCTTTTGTTCACCTAAATATATTAATTCGTTAAGTAATTTCCGAA